GCACGGGTTCTCCTAATACAGTGCTAGCGATGAGTATGTACGGTACACGTTCTACCCTTTTGGCTTCGAAGAACCTGGTGTTCCACACGTGTTTGATCAATGAAATAGCCACATCGCACTTTGAGTAGTACCAGGTTCTTTGCAAGGGCACTTGACGTTCGCATTTGTTAGTTGGTTTGATTACCGTAATAAGGTCTTTCGACCCAGCTGTTAGGCCAGGTGTTACGTTTTGTTTCAACGGTGCGGAAAAACCGTTTCTCGCCTAACTCTTCTAGCATAAGTAGCTACAACGGATTGTCTGCATTATTACCGATGGTATTACTCTGTGAGTTGGGCGTATGTCGTGCCTCTTTTCATGGTCCTACTGATAACCCTATGTCACCTATTCGGCCCTTTTCGAATTACAAACTATTCCATCATACTTGTATTATCCATAGTCTCTCGAATGTTCATTCACGATACTTTTGTTCTGAACAATTGAAAAGCTGCTAGTTCTCCGTGGTTTGCTACATTGCGTCGTCCGAATCAAGCCAGATTTATACAAAGCCATGTTCCACTTCTCCTAATAGCTGTGTGCCGTTCGATTGTCGAGTTGCTGCCGGATTGTGTTTAGGGCACCCATGTTCTTCGTTTACTTCTTGTGTGTAACAAAGTTGCCGCCTCAGTCCAATCCACGTGGACTGCGGTCATTTAGATAGTATCGCATACGACTGGAATAGATCATCGTACTTGTGTTTGACACTTTCATTTACGCTCATTTCAAGTGCAATTTTCACTTCTCAACCTCGTTCGCGCAATTAAGGGATACTGAATTAGTTCCATCAGAGTATTCATGTTTTGCTACAAGAGCAGACGTTACCCTTAAATTGAGCCAAAAATTGTTGCTGCCACTATTGGGTATCTGTGTTACGTCTGACGCGATAGAGCAATTCGGTTTTCCAAGCAACTACCTCATAGGTTCTTACCACTTCCGTTTGCCGAACATAATGACTTTAGCTCGCATCTCTGGATACCAACCAGCTGAATTTCGATGTGATAAAACGGATACGTCCAATGCGCAAATGGCAACCAGCTCAGTTTCACCAACTACCGAGTCCCATTCGGAAACCATTCCATCATCTTAGCAATCTTTCGGAATTTTCGTCTCTGTCTAATTATCAAAAGGTCGAGGTGGCTCCTGATTTTTATAGTCCAGAACTTCACCAGTAAGCCTACTACTCAAGCTGCTCCGTAAGAATTATCAACATTCGTAAGATGAAAAAGGAATTCACACTTCCTCTAACAACGGACGGACCAAAATGGACCGCTAGAGTAGCGGATCTGTCGTGACATTACCAACAACTTTGTCAGTGTGTTTCCCTTTTCCACTGGAATGTACTGGGTCATCACCATAACTCACCTATATCCATCCCCCTTATGACAGACGCCATGTAGAAAACCTACTATCCATGTGCACACAGTTTTCCCGAAGGAGCGTATCATGATAGTTGTAGTCTTCGCTTACCCGTTGATTGTTTCTCCGAGCTCGATAAAGGGATTGCATACGTTTCACCACCATGCGAGGTGGCATCTTCGGTGCGGTGATATGCAGTGTACAATCCCGCTTATTGAATCATCAGTCCGTGATCGACGGGCATTTGACTTTTGAAGGTAGCAATTTCGATTTGAGCCACGTGATCTTTGCCCATTTACTTCCGCGCCTGAACCATGTCTTTCTATTCGTCGGAGATCTGTCTTTCTGAGCTGATGGTACACGGGGTCGACGTCGATGCGCGTGTTGATGAAATTATTAGAGGAGTGCCATGCCTCTAGGAATTCTCTTCCTTGCTGTGTTGTTGTTTGAGCTAGCATCTCCGTTTTGGTCGTGCGGCAGCGAAGCGCCGTTACGGCGTACAGCTGACGCATTATTATTATATTATTATGTCCCTCCACATCCACATGCGCTGAGACAAGAGACGATGCATAATGTTTTTACAAGTCCTCTGATGTTCTTGTATTCTTGTGGATAGTTTCCTTCCTGTCTGTCCCACATAGTTCATTTCACAATTATTGCAATTTATCTTATACACGACCTTTGTTCGTTCTTGTGCTTTCCGAATGTGTTTCTCAAACTAGCGGATGGCTCGTGAGCGACCACGATGCGGTGTTGTTTGAGCAATCTAGCAGTCATTTCAGATATGTTCTTCATATGCGGCAAAATGACTCTCTTGCTTGCATTTGGTATCGGCTCGATGTTCATAGGTTTGTGGTTTCAACATCTGCGTATAACGGTGCGTGGGTATCCACTGCGCTCAAACGAATCGGTGTTTACATTCTTTCCGTTTGGCTTCCGCCGTACTGCTGTGTGTTTCAATCCTGCGAAATAGTGTCCGCACGCAGCTTATTTTGTGGCACTGGGTGGTTGCTGTCGAAATTCAAAATTTGGTCAGTATGTGTGTCTTTTCTGTGAACGGATCTTTGAAATTCACCATCCTTTGTTCTGGCCACCAACACATCCAAGAATGGGAGCATGTTTTCTGCCTCTAACTCCATTCTATACTGAATCCCATCCAATGCATTGTTGAGCAGTTGGTGTGCGAGTGCTACTTCACTGCGTTTCAGTATTACAAACGTATCGTCGACATAGCGTACCCACAACTTCAGGTTAATAGCTGGTAGTAGATCTTCTTCCAACTTTTGCATGACGATATCAGCGATCAGACCTGATACTGGTGATCCCATCGGTGTCCCCTTCACTTGCTCATAGATCTCTCCGTTGAACGACAAATAATTTGTGAGGCATAGTTGGAGGAGCTTGCAAATGCTTCCGGTCGTCATACTCTCAATTTTTTCTCCTCTGTGTGATACGATGCGCAGAAGCCTCAATCTGAATCTTCGTGTATCGTCGCAAATTCCGAGAATTAACATGCAGATGTTCATTCCTCAGTGCTTTGACAAACCGACGCGGATACATCGACACCCTTATGCATTCCTTATAAGCATCAATACGTGCGGCTTCTCGCGAAATGGCACAACGTAAAGACACTACTTTAGCCACGATCACGTGTACTATCACGTGTTAAACCTCAGTCATAATAGCAACTTGAGCCACCCTTACTCAAACTGGTGTACTCCAAAGCACAGTGTCGGGACCCATTTCGTTCCTGATCCACCTCAGCTTCTTCGATCACCCTGTACGTTATTTGCGAATAACCTGACGACATAGCAACTAATTGGTACTCCTGGCGACTACGGCATACTTCAGTAGGACCTCAGTCGCCTCTCCATGAGGTCTGCGGATGTCGAATCTGCCAGGCAATCCAGTCAGGTGGTTATTTATGCACCTGCGGAAGCGTGGTGTTGGGTGTACGCTGTATCCCACATCTTCCCTGAAGGACTTAGGCATATCCCCATGAAGACATCAGCAGTGGGCCGGTACGCAGTACCGACACCTTGCTGCCACGTAACCACCACAAGTCGTGCGTGGGCTAAGGATACCGCAAGGGTCCCCCTGTCCTCTACCCAGACTAGGCGAACTCCCGTGCTGCAATTGGCCGCCCGTGGACAGCACGAACAAGCTATTGTAATAACGGACTGCGTATGCTGTAGGCACTCAAACGCAGCTTCTTCACTCGGTCTGAAGAGTTTGCCTTCCATCTCATATCTTCCATCATATGAACAACGCTCGTGTGTGGCTCACTCAATTGCTGCCTGATCACTCGTATTGAGGTGCATAGATGGGAATGTGTAGCTACGCGGCTCATTCCCATTTAACGGGGTGTCGTACGAAGACCGATGCAGGAGACTGGGACTGTATAAGCTGTCATATTTTGGTTTTGAGTGAGACTTATGGTGACGCACCTGATATTCTATCTGGATGACTTCCCTAGAGCTTGGTCGCTTCTGCACGTGCGCGCACTAAGCCTCGATCACGGGCATCGGTACAAGATTGTTGTACCGGATTTGAAGCGGATAAGAAGATTGTCAGATCCGAGTGACATTGGTTTGCGAGACCGCGAATCAGGACCGAATAGCCGCACTGAAGATGTTGCCTAGCTTTGTAACGAAACGTCTGCAAGCGAAATGCCCGAGTCGGAGAACAGGGAAATCCTCTCATCCGCACCCCGAGCTACAGGTATTCTCAATAATGAAGCGGATAGCTCACTCTTTATCCTTCGTGCGGTGAGTGGCGAAATATTGGGACAGTTTACTCAAGCTAATAGTCGAGGCGAAATCAACGTCTCAATTCGGGAATTCCCTAGGCGCCTACTTTGCGATTTACAGATTCCGAGAGCGCATCGCACCTGAGTAGGACATTGCACAACTGGACTAAATTGACAACGAGGTGGGATAAATACCGTTATTCCGCTTGCGTTCTCGATACTATGTCGATGGAGTAAAGTAAATATATATCTGCGGACTCTGTAACTTCTGTAATACGGCCGCCTAAACATCCTCAGGATCTCTTCTTGCTACTTCTGCGTCACACCTGGTATGGTCTCCCAGAATCCGTTATTTATACCTCTCCACTAGCTGTGACCAAACACTGCTTTGACTGTGCATTTATCTTATTATACCACCTCATATAAGTCTTATTACCCACGAGAACATCAAGAGGTCAAAACGCAATAACTCACACCTGTTTTGCTGGGAAAGCCAAAGGTGGTATCCTAGCCCACTACATCAAGCCTTGTGCGAACCATTCAGTCGAACAAAAGCTTGATAGTTAATCTCTCATTTGATTGTCATTTGAGGTTTTCTTTTAGAACCCCCCCCCAACCGACCATCCTGCGGGCATACACAGCTCCCTAGTTTTTATCTGCAATACATCAGTTGCCATTTGCCTGTGAAGTGACCTGTGGGCTTCATGTACCCCTCACAGATGTTTTTGTTTGCCTCCTTAACCTATCTAGAGCCACCGCAAGATTGCACTTTCCCATCTCGTTAGTATACTGCTGTTCTTGGGTTCAAAATCGATAGATATCATGAGTACAACAATCTCTATCTCTCTCTTTTCTCAGTATAATGTGTGATTTAATGAGCGAAATGCTAAACCGACTTCATAGTCAAGGGGAAAATCGACTGCCAACTGCGTTTAGACGGGCCGAAACTGTCGTGGACAAGATCATTTCCAACTGGCTCTCCTGCTTGCTCTACACTTTCATCAAAGTGAGTGTCCTCTTGATTTCTTTCTTCTCTCCCTTACTTTGCCTTTAATGCATTACGTCTTCAGCTGCGCGTGGGTGGGTACGACTGCTCTGTTGTTCTCCATTTGGAAATATTTGATGATTTGCTTTGCATACTACCTCTGATTGTCTTTTTCCCATTGCCTAAGTAAAGCTTCATCAATTGTATAGGACTGCTATAGCGCTTGTGCGAGCCTTGGGATATCATGTGTCGCTGCTCTCAAGCTTCAAATTACCGTTGGTGCGCGCTTACTTATCAACCATTATATAAATTCATTCGTGGGGATTGTATACTAACCTGCAGTAAAAGGCCTACGCACCGTAGCGCTTAGTACGATCTTTGATCTTCTGTTCGCGTAACATCTCATTTTTTCTATTTCAATCAATTTTCCGCTGTGAAGCTCCCGGTGTTGTGTTTACTTTCATTTGCTCCAATGAGCTGACACAATTTACCCTGTCACTTCAAACTGAATTTCTGTCACCGAAGTACATCCCAGCCTTCATAGAGACGAGCCGTTGACTGTAGTCTGTTTTGTTGCACATGCGCTTTCTACACTGTCGCTTTTGATATGCGCAGGCATAGAACATTCACTGATGTTATCGCTGCACAACAGCAGCTTTATACTGTGCTAAACGAAGATGAAGCAGCACCATCCGATGCACCTGTTTTCTGTTTGTCTGTTTTTCGGGAGAGGCAACCCGACGGTTCCAATTAGCAATTTTCTACTTGAGCTTGCTTAGGAAGTATTTAAACAACCACTTAATATGATCATTCGGATGTCCAGGCCACAATGGAAACCCACTGGGAATATCAAACTTCCTCTTGAATGCACTGTGGTCAGGGGCCACCCACCATAGGTGCGCCAACCCCCACTTTACGGCGGCAGGCACAAGCACATTAGGCCTGGCCTCCACACTATTGTGTCCCTATGTAAACGCTCCTAGACAATCTTCGCTTCAACATTCCATAGAACTCTAGTTTATGTTGTATACCGAACGTAACACACGTTCCTTTGTATTATTTTCCTATTCTTCCGCCTCACCAAATGTGGCGCAGGGAAATTTAATCAATTGTTGGGTCAGCAATTCTTGATTCCTAAACGCAGTGGAGTACAATATTGAGCTACCCCATCGTATGTTAAGGAACGTGCTTCTACCCAATTTGTTCTGTTGTGCGCTCAATGCATGTCACCACTATCCCACTACTTCGCTGCTGCGACCAGTTCGCCATTCAAAACATATCCTACTTCAAAGCGTTAACATCGCGGACAAATCCCACCGTTGCGCAACAATTTTAGGCACTTGTGACCGGGCTACGACTCCCAGCATTTACCCGCCTCACCATTGATCCGGCGACAGTACTCAAGTATCATCCATCGTTACGCACTCATAGCTCCTTCGGAGTTGATGACATCCACCTGATAGTGCTGGAACTGGCCGCTACAAGGTTAGTCAAACCATTATCGCGATTCTTTCAAAATTGTTTAGATGAACAAGAGGTCCGTTCAGAACCCGCGATAACTACCACCTCGTTGTCCTCATCCCAATACTCTTGAAAGTGATGTATGCGATCATTGCTGCGGCACTAGTGGGTTATTTAGAAAGCAAACATTATAGCGCTAATGCAAACTTTCTTCCGTCAAAACCTATCATGTACTGCAAGTGTGCACGGAGTAGTTGGACCGAAGTACCAATTAGTGTGACTGGAACCGATGCCATCTATCGAGACTTTTCCGGGGTCTCCGAACGCCTGGATCACCACCTCCCTCATAAGCTGCAAGTCTGTGGGATTGTGAACCATATTCTTATTTGGATCAGCAATTTTCTTTCTCAACGGGTTTGTAAATGCCAATTCGGGGCTCATGGTCTGATGCGGCTGAAGTGGAATGCGGTGTTCCCCAAGGATCATTACTGGTACCGCGTTTATTCCTGCTTTTCGTTAACGAGATGGCGTGTGTACGTGTCTCCAATTTCTTGTCTTTCGCCCATAATATCAAAATATCGCGAACGATCGGTAATCAAGAAAATCATGGTATTGTGCTACGACGATTGGAGGATGGCTCTGAATGGGAGAGTACATCTTGCAGACAACTCCACAGGAGGCCGCTCTTGCGGGGGTGGGAGCCTTTTTAGATGACATTGGCTGCTTGAAGCGATTTCTGTGAACCAACTCATTGGTATCCTGGAGAGAGCGTTCAAACAGTTCGACCTTTACACCTCCCCGCAGCTGCTCAACGCGTAGATGTAATCCAATGAGAGGTACGCAATACATGCCTGGCAATCCTGGAAGCAACAAGATGCGACCGTAGGGTAAGGATCTAAGAATATACAAAGCTTGTTCTATACCCCACACCAACTACGACTGAAGGCACCAAGAGTGTACATTGGAACCTATAGTCATCTCCGAGGTGACCTCATCCTGACAAGTCTCGAAAAACCCAAGTACTCTTTAGCACCAGCTCCTTAGACCATAACACCAAACTGTCCACACAACGCGCAATCAGTTGCAATGTCGCCGGAATCTTTCCAAATTTATCAGCCATAAAACGCTTCTCCTGCTTCTGTTATTTCAACGCTGACGTTATCTATTCCAAAGACGACTCGATGATGCATTACACCATTTGCATCGCGTGAAATGATCCGCGTTTATCAGGTGACAGCACAACGCAAACAGATTCTGCTCACCGGCCCCTCTATGAAATCAGAGTTACGAAGTTATATTTGTGTTAGACTAGCATGATGGAACAATGAACAATGAATTTATACGGGTTAAGAAGCGTTGCTTTACAGGTCCCGTTGGATAGTTGCAGGGGATATCAACATAATAATGATGATAAGGATAGTAAAATAGTTAATACTTTAAATATGATAATAAGGACTTATCGTTTGCTTCGCTGCAATCCTGCGATCCTCTTAGATTCACAGCATCCACAGTTAACAACAAATAATTCCATGGTAAACTCCAGGTGTAGGATGGAGACGTAGTGTTAAGTAACAAAGTGTAAGTGGATGAGTGCATCGTCCAACCGTCTTTTAAATACTGTTAATGTCGGTGCAGAGACGAGCGATTCTGGGAGAGCATTCCACGGGTGACAGACACGGATGGAAAAGAAATTTCTGCGGCACTCCAGACGACTGTATTGTTCTGCGAGTTTTAATGAGTGGCCCCTCAGATTTGTATTGCTGCTGAGTTGCAGTAAAGGACGGCACACATGATGTGGGCCTCACAGAATCAAGTATGCCATAATCACGTCGCCTCGTAATCTGCGATAGCTTCCACTGAACAATCCCAGTCGTTGCAGCCTCTCCTGGTAAGAAAGATTGCGCATTCCAGTTACGTTCTTAGATGCCCGGCGTTGTGGCTGCTCCAGTGCATTAAGGTCGTATTTCAGCCATGGATGCCAGGCTTGAATTGCATATTCGACATGGGGGCGAACACACGCACTGAGCATTTGTCAGAATATGGAGCTGTTTATTTGTTCAAACGCCGAGCGTAATAGCCCGACGTGTTGGTTCCTGGTCTTCGAGGCCTTTTCGCATTGCTTGGAGCAACCCAAGTCATCTTGAACCAGGACACCCAAGTCACGTTCGAGAGTTGATTGTTGCAGTACATCCGTTCCGAGTCGGTATGAGTAGCTGCTTTGATGTCGGATGGAAAGCACCTTGCATTTACTGGCGTTGAAATGCAATAAGTTTTGGGTCGACCATTGATACACTGTATCTAAGTCACTCTGAAGCACATGTTGGTCGGCGTTCGCCTGGATCGTGCGCCAGATCTTGATATCGTCGGCAAACATTAGGAAGTTTGAAGCGATTCCCTGTGCAAGGTCATTAATAAACACCAAAAACAAACGTAAACCTAGAACCGAGCCTTACGGCACACCACACTCCACTTGTATGGGGTCCGATAAAGAGCTCCGAACTCTGACCACTGATTGCCGTTGACGTGGAAAGTTGGCGATCCAGCTTAAAAGAGGGTCTCCGATCCCGTAATGCTGCAGCTTGGATAGTAGTATCCGATGGTCTAGACGATCGAAAGCCTTGGAAAAATCCAGGTATATCACATCAACACCTTCTCCAGCGTCGGCTGCCTCGGTCCAACTACTGCGTGCAATTAGTAAATTAGTTGTACATGACCGCTGTCGACGGAAACCGTGCTGTTCAGGGGTGATGTGTTTGCAGTTTTCCAGATAGCACACCAGTGCATCGGCAACTATGGATTTCATGACCTTGGAGAGTATAGGAAGAAGGGTTACTGGGCGGTAGTTGGATGGATCAGTTCTGACTCCACCTTTGTGAAGCGGGCTTATTATTTCAAGCTTCCACATGGCGGGAACTTGGTTCTGGTCTAAGCAGTGCTGGAAAAACTGAGCTGAAGATCCTGCCAGTTGGTTTGCTGCTGCTCCCAATGCCTCTGGACGAATGGTGTCGACACCCGGCGAGCTGTGTTTGCGTAGAGAAGTCAGCTTTTGCAATACAGCTTCTGCGGTAAAATTGATGTGGCTTAGTCCTGGTGAGCAGAATACAAGGCTTGGTAGATCGCTTGGTGGCAAGACTCTTTGAAACGTGGGGGCGTATTGCATCTGCAGCGCGTTTGCTGCTTCCATAGACGTTCTTGTTGGGCCATCAGCCGTCTTGAGTGGAGGAAATCCTTGCCTCACCTTTGGTAGGCTCTTAACGTGCTTGCACAACAGTTTGTGGTTAGCACTGAAGGTTGTTACGATGTTCTGCTGATAGGCGGCTTTGTCTTCTCTTAACAGTTGAGTGCAGTGGTTACGTTGGGCTACGTAGTTGTCCCAAGTTTCTGGTGCTGGAGCTTCTCTGTACACTCGCCATGCTGTGTTGCGTACTGTCATCCATTTTCGAGTTCTGCTCCTAACGAAAGAAACTGATTTGCACTTATTGCAAGCTTTTATCTCTGAAGCCTGTGCAATCAGCTGACTGAATTTGTTGCCGAACTCTAGCCAGGCGACTTCCGGGGGT